GGGCAGGGATTGAGCGTTCCTCCCGGGGCAGGGATTGAGCGTTCCTCTCCCATTTCCCGGGGCAGGGATTGAGCGTTCCTCCCGCATTTCCCGGGGCAGGGATTGAGCGTTCCTGTCCCATTTCCCAAGGCAGGGATTGAGCGTTCCTCCCGCATTTCCCAGGGCAGGGATTGAGCGTTCCTCTCCCATTTCCCAGGGCAGGGATTGAGCGTTCCTCCCTCATTTCCCGGGTCAGGGATTGAGCGTTCCTCTCCCATTTCCCAGGGCAGGGATTGAGCGTTCCTCTCCCATTTCCCAGGGCAGGGATTGAGCGTTTCTCTCCCATTTCCCAAAGCAGGGATTGAGCGTTCCTCCCGTTTTTCCCACACCCGCCGTCCCTGGCTCTGATCCCAGCCAGGCTTCCCTCCCTCCCCCTGGGCTCGGCTTTGTTGGGAATGTTTTCCCCGGGCGCTGCGGGATCCCGGAGCTGCCGGAGGGGGCTCTGCCAGCTTCCTGCCTTGGCTGCTGGCTCAGCTCCCTGTGCCAAGCCGGGAGCTCCCTGTGGGAAGCGTTTGTGCCATCGGGATTGGCGGCTCGGGGTGGGCTGGGGGCGGTGGGTGTCGCTTGTGGGTGGGATTTCTCCTCTACAAGGAAGTAGGAGGTAAAATGAGTCGGGAAAAACGGAATGGACTCTTCCTTGCTCTCTGTTTTGGAGTGGATCCTTCCTTGCTCTCTGCTTTGGATGCTGCAGTGGAATCGTGGAATAATTCAGTCTGGAAAAGGCCTCGGACACTCCTGAATTCCCAGCACTGACCGTGTCCCCAAGTGCCACATGCACAGGGCTAAATCCCCCAGGGATGGGCACTTTAGCCCTTTCCAAGAAGGAATTTTCCCAAAATTATCCAACCTGGCCCAACCTGAGGCTGTTCCCTCTCCTCTTGTCCCTGTTCCCTGGGAGCAGATCCCAGCTCCCACCTGGCTCCAGGAATTCAGGGAGTTTTGGAGAGCCAAAAGTTCCCCCTGATCCCCCTTTTCTCCAGGCTGAGCCCCTTTCCCAGCTCCCCCAGCTGCTCCTGGAGCTCCAGACCCTTCCCTGGATGCAGGGCTGGGACAGACGGACAGACAGCAGGAGGAGCCCGGGCTGCAGGTGGGGTGTGGGACGATGCTGTCAGGGATGCAGGGTTGGGACAGACAGACAGACAGACACCAGGAGCCCGGGCTGCAGGTGGGGTGTGTGGTGATGCTGTCAGGGATGCAGGGCTGGGACAGACAGACACCAGGAGGAGCCCGGGCTGCAGGGCTGGGACAGACAGACAGACAGACAGCAGGAGGAGCCCGGGCTGCAGGTGGGGTGTGGGGTGATGCTGTCAGGGATGCAGGGCTGGGACAGACAGACAGACAGCAGGAGGAGCCCGGGCTGCAGGTGGGGTGTGGGTGATGCTGTCAGGGATGCAGGGCTGGGACAGACAGACAGACAGACACCAGGAGGAGCCCGGGCTGCAGGGCTCAGACAGACAGACAGACAGACAGCAGGAGGAGCCCGGGCTGCAGGTGTAGTGTGGGATGATGCTGTCAGGGATGCAGGGCTGGGACAGACAGACAGACACCAGGAGGAGCCCGGGATGCAGGGCTGGGACAGACAGACAGACAGACACCAGGAGGAGCCCGGGATGCAGGGCTGGGACAGACAGACAGACAGACAGCAGGAGGAGCCCGGGCTGCAGGTGTAATGTGGGGTGATGCTGTCAGGGATGCA